GATTTTCGCTCGCATTATCTCGCGAAAGTCCTCCAAGGTGAGCAGACCGGAGTCAAGTCGTTGGAAGAGTCAGAAGAGGTTATAGCCGACCCCGGAGTCCATGTCGGCCACTATATCCTTGCTGAACAGCTCCTGGATCTCCGGGTACGTAGGCAGACGAAGCGATGCGGGGGTGGCCATCCTCCGAAGTTCCCTCGGCGGTCTGCGCTTCGAGCTGGGCAGTATGCGCCTCGAGCTGTTTCTGGAGGCTGACGACGTGAGCCTGGAGCTTACCGAGCTCGGCCACATGACGGTCCACCTCCTCGCTCAGTGCCTTGGCATGCTGCTCCCCCAGCTCAAACTCTCTAGCAGTCCAGGCCGCCTTCTCCCTCCTCAGCTCCTCGGCCATCCTAGCCGCAGCCCGAGAGGCCTCAAGCTCTTTCTCGGCAGCCTTGCTCGCCTCGGCCTCCGCCAGCAAGAGACGGTTCTCCAGCTCTGAGGTCCGCTTCGCCTTGGCGTTCAGGGAAGCAATCTTTCCACGGCAGAGCTCGTGGTCGGCTTCCAACTTCCGGTGGTCGGCTAGAGTCTTTTGCGACCGATCGGCAGCGAGCACGAGCTCGATCAGTGCCCGAGAAATGGTCCCCGCTGCATGCTGGATAAGCGAGGGGGTAGAGAGCTGGGAAACGCTGGTTTGGGCGGTTGGCGTCCAAGCGATAAGGGAGAGCCGAGCTGCTCGCACCACCTCCTCGGGCACCTCGGGCACCACCGTCTCGACGGCACCCGAAGCCGACCCTGCCGTCCGCTAAGGTCCACGCATGCCTGTAGCGGAGCCGCGCCTGACGAGGCGCCGGGCTAGAGAAGAGCCGGGCCCAACCGGCGACGACGCCCTTGGCGGTAGCACTGAGGATCAGGCCGCTGCCAAAAAGAAGAAGGGCGCCGAGGTGGAGAGTTCGGGCCCTGCCAAGGAGAAGAGGGCCCATGTCCACCGGGATAAGGCGAACTCCTTGGTCCCTATTGATGCCGAGCGGAGGGCCCGCGTGGCCAAGGCCCTTCCCGGCTTCTCGAACGATTGGTTCCTCGACCTCCGGGCAAACACCGTCGGCACGTATTGGCTGATGCCGACCTCGAGCCCGCTCAGAATGTCATTGAGCGCGCCGGGCAGGGAAAACTGAAGGCCTAAATAAATACTATGATGGTAAACCCATATGCAGCCCGGCGGCGGACAGTGGATCCGCTCCTCGGGATAAGGCGCAAATATCCGGACTCCGGGGCCGAAGTTATACTTCCCCCTTAGCTGGGCCAGGTCGGCATTGTCCAAGACCGACGCCGTGTTCCAGGCCGTTGCCTGGCTCGGCGTCGCCCAAACTCGCTCGGGCCGACGCCAAAACCCGGGAGGAGGTACCGTCGCGGCCTCAAGGGCGGCATCGGTAGCCGCGTCTCCTAATCCCATGGGAACACGTTCCCGGCCTCCGGTGTCACCCCGGAGTGTCTCGTCCACTAGATCTTGATCGACGTCAGAGTCCGAGTCCAGAAAGTCGATGTCAACAGAGTCCACATCAGCGGCGGTCCATCGATCCAGGTCGGCGCCCTCGTCCCCGCGCAACGAAGCCAGAGGAGAGCAAGACTCGTCGGCGCCGTCGCCACCAGAGGTGGTCGCGGCCTTCGAGCGGTCCGGCCGGACCATAGAGATCGGAATCGCCGCGAAAACAGTGCCCACGGCCGGAGAATGCGGGTGAGAAGCCAAGTTCTCGACCTTAACCGCCGCATCGCCGGAGGAACTACCGCCCTCACCCGGAAAGTCGACGTCGCCGGCGGATTTCGAGAGTGAAGACATCGAAAAGAAAGAAAATTAGAAGAGAAGACGATAAAATTTGCGAAAGGGATTGAGGAATTACCGAAGAATTCGTCGAAGGAAGACTCGAGAAGATCGCAAAAGCTCTGAGAACACAAGTTTTGAGAATACAAACTCTGAGACTGCAAAAGTACTGCAAATCTGTCGAGATCCCGTATATGTAGATTAGGTCTCCCAACGAGGTGTGGACACGTGTGTAGACTTTTGAAATTTGAAATTCAAATAAAAGGCGAAGCGTCCTGGGAAAGCCAACCGACACGCCCGTTCAAACACTTGGTCGGGAATTCGCCACGTGTCGTCCGCATATGGATGCAATTAAGACGTGTCCCTTCGGCTGCTGACGCTAACACGCACAAGTATGGTAGAAATGCCGACCTCAAGAGCGAGCCCGGCATGATCCATACGGACCCGACTCGGATTCAAGCATTTAACAACGACCTCGGGAGGGACACGGTAGGCCTCACCCAAGCTCGGGGGCTTGTATGTTGATATCCAGATCGGGCTCCCATAAAGGTAACGATCCGAGAGACCGGGAACCGGGCGAGGCCGGCCCGGCCAGTGGGGTCGATTACCACGTTAATTAGCAGGTGCCGATTTGAGGATTAGTCAAAGTCAACTGGAGTGGTGGACAACGTCATACCCCGAGGTCGGCACCTCGACGCTCCCGTTAGGGAGACGACCGGCTCAGGATATGGGGTCTGGAAGACCGGAAGGTGGGCAGACTGTCAAAGCCCGGCTCGAGACCCTACCTCCTCGGCCCTCGTAGCGGTTAAAGATCCCAGAAGCATTTAAATAAGGCCACTTGTCAACCAATGATTGCCGATGGGACGTCCCAGACTAGCCTGCAGGTCTAGGACGTCTAGCTCGGCCGAGGAGTATGTCCGCATTAAATGCAGCCCATGCCAACACATTAAATTCGTTGCAGGTAATGATTGGAAGATCCCAAAATCACTCCCAATCAGTCAAAGAAACGTTGGCCTGTCTTGCCGAGTTACTGTACGACAAAACCCACGAACAGTACCCTAACAGTATCACATTTAAGAACCCTATAAATAGAAGTCTTGAGCATTTATTTTAGGTTGTTGAATCTCCAACTTTCAGACTCTCTCTCTACTTTCTCTCTCTAGACTTGTAATAAATCTCGATAAGAATTTGTAAGGATATCACAAGTGCCGACCTCGTACGAGAGGCCGACCCAGTGATTTGATAATAAAACCATAATTAAATCGTATTTCTTTGTCTTTTCCTCATCACCTTTTCATTATATATCTTTTGACCGTTGACCGGAAACGCCCGTCAACAACGCGTAACAACAACATATAATTGGTCGTGACTAAGAACCGATTTTTTTAAGAACATGTCAATGCACGGTTCTTATCTATTACTTACACGCGAAACAACGACATATAATTGGTCGTGCATGACTAAGAACTAATTTCTTTAGGAACATGTCAACACACGATAAGGATTGACCTCCACTCTTATATAGAACCCTAAGATTAGAAGGGGTCGTGCGTGACTAAGAACCGATTTCTTTAGGAACATGTCAACGCACGATAAAGATTGACCTCCACATTTAAATGGAACCCTAAGATTAGAAGGAATTGGTGCCGCTGGAACTTAAATGGAATCCTAAGATGGACCTACTTATAATATGATAATTTACTTAGGCAGTTAGACAAATGAGCTGGTACTATATCATTTTAATATCGACTATACTTGATTAGTTAAATAACATTTACTAATATTTTTATACCTTTTTATACAAAAAGACTGACCTTGACTCTTAAATGAAATCCTAAAATCAGAAAGAACTGTTAAATGGAAGCAGATGAATCTATTTATAACATGATAATTTATCTGGCAGTTCGACAAATGAGTTGTTAGTTTATCATATTAATACCGTACTTCAATCTTCGACTTCCCCTTATCCTTAGAAACATAATGTGTCTCAAGGGCAAGAACAACCTCCTCAGAATTGCTTAGCTCCTCCCAAATTGAGAAACATTCATAAATAAAAAAACTAGCAGCTAGCATATTTATTTATTAATAATTATCAATCCTTCCAAATCGTAAATAATAAACCTACAATGTGTCCAAATTGAAATAACTTGCATGAAAACATAGAAATAATATGGTGTCCAAATAGCAATAACCATCTCAAAAACTTAAAAATAATTAAGTGCTATGATATAATTCGATGCCAAATCTTAAAATTATTTATTCTTCAATCTTCGACTTCCCCTTATCCATAGAAACCGATTGGGCCCCAAGTGCAAGAACAACATCCTCCGAATTTCTTTGCTCCTCCCAAAGATTCCTTTTGGCGGCAGAAATGTCACAAACAAACTCTTTTTGAGCAGCGATCTTTAGAGGAGTCGACACTTCATCCGCATCATCCTAAATGAAAAAAAATGTGTTACACATATTTTATATATAATATGGAAAAAGCTGTAAAGTATACTGCCTCCTATTTTTATTATTTGTCACTCTGGCTTAATTGATCATTGATTAAATAAATATCATTTTCGCTATTTTGTTCATATTTTTCATTTTAACCCTCAATCTAATACACAGTGTCTCTTCATATCTCATCTTCATTGTTTCCCATAACATCCATTAAATAGGGTTAATATTGACAACAAAAATAATTGTTAATTAGCGTGTTGCTTCTCAAAACAACAAATAATAAAAATAGGAGGAAGTATAATATTTTATTAACTAATTAAATCAGCTAAAAATTCCGAATTCAGAGTAATATAATAGAAATTGATATTTCAAATTACAAATAGTTGGTTAGATATCATAGATAAGGACATTGGAAATAGGACAGAAGATGGAAAAGGCCAAACTTGCACCATTCAAAGAGTCACAAAGGTGTGGACATAGAGGATAAAAATAACAAAAAATAACAATATTACTACGGATGGTTTCAGATTTTCATTCTCAACAATATCTATATAACAAATGCACATAACGCAAAATAATAAAGTTGAAGGAACACAAATAAGCAAAATAGTGAATCAAAGTAGATTATTNCATCTCAATATTTGGAGAACCCCTACAAATATAATTTTAATTTTCATATACGGCAAAATTAAAGATTAAAAAATAAAAAATTAATTAAAAAAAAAACAGGGTGCATCATTGAGATAGTGTGCACATACTTTCCCCACCAAAGTTCATCCTCAGTCGTTTCATCTCTCACGACGCGTTTGTTCTTTGGGGAACGGTCGGTCTTGGCGCCGGAAAGTGTGGCTATGGCACCGCTGGAAGTAATGAAGGATCCTTTCTCGTACTTAATGGCCTGCTCGTATAGCTCTGTATACACACGATAGAAATTAACGCCGAAAATTAAAAATAGCAGAAACAAATTAGGGTTAATTAGGGAAAAGTGTTACCGGCTGGCGAGAGGTTGTAGAGGACATGAGTGAATTTGAGTGAACTATCGCTAACGCCAATGGTGGGGCTACGTGGCTCTGGCTCACGATCTGCGGCATTTTCGACGGCTTCCCCGGATCTCCCCTCACCACTTTCGGTCCACTCTCTCTCGTCGGCGATGCCAATGACGCGCTAATTTCAACAATAATTTTGTATAACATCGCAACACCCTTATATATACAGCGAGATATCTGCACCATTATCTTCACGTAAAATATGGAAATATTTTGGTAAGATAATATTCTTGAAATTGTTAACGATAAAGAAGGATTGATTTTGATAAGATATTAAATTGATTTTGATAAGGTTGTAACACCTGCCCCTTATTAGGAATTTTAGTTGATTTTTTCACGTAAAATATGGAATCACAATTTCAAATTTTTGGGGTTTTTAAATATGGAATCACAATTTCAAATTGATTGGTTGATTCAACCGCATTATAAGGAATGAGAATTCCAAATTCACGTTTTTAAGAGATTGCCATATTCAGTAAGTAAAATTGGTTGACTGCAATTTTTATAAAACTTTCCTCACTTGATTTATTTACTTCTCTCTTTCAATATATATAGATTCTAAAGAATAAATGATTTGAAATTTTCAACCCATATCACTTTGCACACGTGAAACCAAATTCTTAGATATTAATTATTTTTAAACAAAACTCTCGAAAATTAATTATTTGAAATTTCCAATCCAAATATTTTTGGAAAAACCGAATTACTTGCTGAATCGCTGTACAAATATTTAATTATTGTGATGAATTATGCAACCTATTTTTATGCTAAGCTTATCTTGCGTGAAGATAATAAAATACAGATAACTGTCTAATTAATAATTATCTTGCATAAATTACGCAGCCTAACAATCTCAATCTCAATTTTTTTAGCGCCTCTTAATAATTATCAGAGTGAATTACGCAGATCAAAGGTGAGATTAAATTGGTAACGAAATCAGATTAAATATTATTAGATTTTATAATTGGTTTCCACAAATGTAGGAAATTGATAACGAAATCAGATTGCATGTACTCTTTATCCGAAAATTAGAGAATTATTTCGACATATTACCAAGAAAAAATATCATA